TTCGCTTTGTGCGATTTCGCAGGTGTATGTGCCGCTAACCTATTCCTACCCAAATGTCACGACATTATGCGGTGTGAAATCACTCAGATGCGACTATGCGGTCGGACGTGGGACAACATTGTGTGTGTACTGTGCTGTATGCGCTACAAGTAGATATACATGCAGAGATACACGCAGGGATACATGCAGAGATACATGCAGAGATAATCACACAGAAATACACACGAAGATACACAGAGATACACAGAGATACAAAGATCCCCGTATGGCCTTAACATACTGTAGGGTGCAGTGCTGTTAGCGAGCACCTATGAAGGCCAGAAGAGTACACAAGGGGGTGGGTGGCCAGCGCCACGCACGACCGCCTTTGTCTCCCCAGTGGCGATGTTTACACAACGTACCAGGTACTAATTTGAGGCTGAGTCGACCTAGGGGAGGCCCAGGACCGGTTCAAATAATATAATCTTCACTGGTGTTGGCCGTGAGTGGGAATCGAACCCGGGTTTGCCAGGTTCATAGCGCAGTGCGCTAACCGCTACACTACCGCTCCCCACAACACTACAGAGATACACACACACACAGACACATACACAGATACACACATACAGAAATACACACGCAGAAATACACACACAGAGATACACACACAGACACACACACAGATACACACATACAGAAATAAACACACAGAGATACACACACATACAGAAATACACACGCATAAATACACACACAGAGATACACACACACAGATACAGACACAAAATACACACACATACAGAAATACACACACAGCGATACACACACACAGACACACACACAGATACACACGCAGATACACACATACAGATATACACAGACTGAGAGATACGTAACACAGATACAACACTGTGCATGTCCTGTGTGCGCTGTGTGCGCTGCATGGCAGGCAGCCCTGTCTACACGTGCGGTTTCGCACGAGTAAACATCCGAACACTACGGCTACCGCTTAGAGCGACGGGAAGCCCGCGACACACACGCGTACACTGATCCATGATCCGTCCTCACCGTGGTGGTGCAGAATTGCCAGGGGCAAGCCCAAGGTGTCAGTATAAGTCCAGCACCACGGCCGACCACCTTTGTTTCCCCAACGACGCGGATGTTTACCCTACGCACCAGGTACTCTTTTGCGCGTATGTACGCACGTGCGTTGAACTTCTTTCGCACCGTACGAAGCCAGCCGTGCTCTGAATTATCTTTGACTATTTCGACTGGTTAGTTTTTTTTGTTATTGTACTAGGTAAGGCCCCATTGAGCTACGTAGCTATATTTCCGAAGCGACCTGGCTATCACGAATGATAGCTCAACAAAGTGGGCTTATTGCGTGGACATCTGTAGCAGCCAAATGCTCTGAACGCGTGACGCCGATTCTAAATGTGGAGGGAAAACCGGAGGAACCCGGAGAGAAATCTACGCGACCATGGGGAGAGAGAGACACCAAAACTCCAAATATACAGCAGCAGGCGTCAGGGTCGGGATCGGACCCACGACCTCCTGTGCACCAGGCGAGGTAGTTAACATCTCCTAGCCACCGTGATGATGATGAGAGAGACATCAAAACTCCAAATATACAGCAGCAGGCGTTAGGGTCTAGATCGAACCCACGACCTCCTGTATACCCCGCGAGGTAGTTAACATCTCACCACTGTGACGCTCATAAATAATTTAATCGGAGGTTTGGCTGAGTCGTCCGAATATTCCCCCCAGGCTCCCCCCCCCCACCACCACCCCGTCGGAGGGAAGATTGGATGTTGACGGGGCAAGTACCGAGATGTTCACTACCTCGCCTGGTACGCAGGAGGTCGTGGGTTCGATCCCGACCCTGAGACCTGCTGTATATTTGGAGTTTGCGTGTCTCTCTCTCTCATCATCATCACGGTGGCTTGGAGATGTTAACTACCTCGCCTGGTATACAGGAGGTCGTGGGTTCGATCCAGACCCTGACACCTGCTGTATATTTGGAGTTTGCGTGTCTCTCTCTCTCATCATCATCACGGTGGCTTGGAGATGTTAACTACCTCGCCTGGTATACAGGAGGTCGTGGGTTCGATCCAGACCCTGACACCTGCTGTATATTTGGAGTTTGCGTGTCTCTCTCTCTCATCATCATCACGGTGGCTTGGAGATGTTAACTACCTCGCCTGGTATACAGGAGGTCGTGGGTTCGATCCAGACCCTGACACCTGCTGTATATTTGGAGTTTGCGTGTCTCTCTCTCTCATCATCATCACGGTGGCTTGGAGATGTTAACTACCTCGCCTGGTACGCAGGAGGTTGTGGGTTCGATCCCGACCCTGACACCTGCTGTATATTTGGAGTTTGCGTGTCTCTCTCTCTCATCATCATCACGGTGGCTTGGAGATGTTAACTACCTCGCCTGGTATACAGGAGGTCGTGGGTTCGATCCCGACCCTGACACCTGCTGTATATTTGGAGTTTGCGTGTCTCTCTCTCTCTCATC